TTCTATATATTATTTCGATTGCCGATTATGCATTTGAATCAGATAGTTGCTTTTGTAAAATTCATGAAGCATTTTAGGGAAATTTTTTAGAAAATTTTATCTCAAATTAACCATCTCAGAAGCTTTCGCCATCATTTAAGGCAACACTTATACTATTATTTCCATCATTTACGGAGTTTCTACCAATCTATGTAAATTTATTTACTCCATCATCTTTTTATACTTTTCAACACTCCAAAGTTTTTATAATTATACCCTTAGACTTCTTAAAGCTTCATTACTTTTTAAAGAAAAGAATTAATTATCCTTCAAAAATGATAAAATATCCTCTATTTATTTTTAATTCAAAAGGACTTCACCATTAAACTCTAAACTTAAACATTTTTCCTATAATATTTCCCAACTAATTTCAAAATTATTAATATCCTACCCTTATCCATTTGAACTTTATGTTTACCTTTCATATATTTCAAAAATCAACATTTTAACACTCTGAATTGTGAATTTTTTCAAATATTCCTTTAGTTAATTTGGATTAAATTTTTATAGCTGAATTTCCTTTAAATTTTCCTTATTATCAGGTGCAAACCAAAAGGCATAATTACTGCTTGTAAAAATTTCACTTCTTGTGGTAAAAATAACAAGTGGGTCTGACCAATTCTGTTTGACTTTATTATTCATATATAAATTTTTTTAAATATTCTCTAATTTCATTTCATCATAGCTATCCATTATCAATAAAAACCTGAATACTTTTTTGTCTAACATCTCTTTGCATTCTTTTATTTAAAGTTCGTCAAAGCCGTACTCATCTTGATGAAGTGCTTCCTCTACTGCTTAAAATAAAGGGTCTCTTAAAGTGGGTAAGGAGATATAAACAGGTATGAGAATTTGATTTCTAATTTTTTTATTCTTGTTATGTAATTTCCAAATAAATTCTTCTATTTTCTTGGCTGTAGTACTTTTGCCAGATCCGGCTACTCCATGAATTAATAGCACTGTTTTTTTCTCATCTAATAAAAACTCATTCACTTCTGCATTTGAATCATTAATTTCTTCTAAATTTATTAAAATACTTAATTTATCTTCTTTTTTCATTATTGCTTGATTATATATCTCTTTGGTTTCTAATGGTACATAAATGGATTTAGCATTTTTATATGCAGCTTCTTTCAACACTTTCCATTTTCTAATTTCAAATAATTACTCAACAGATTTTCCTCTCAAAAATTTAATATCATTACCTATGTTGTTCAGTTATTCTTTCATTTCATTAATTTTTCCCTCTACTCTGATTAAACCTTTTCTGATATGATTAACAAAATCGGTTATCAGTCTAAGTTATTAACCCATTTCACTAATATTTTCAATTTATTAATCCAATTGCTCTGTTGTTTCATCTAGTTCTTTCAGATAAAGATCTCGCTTATTAAGATTAGCTTCATGAGAAATTTATTCTTACAATTCATCTATTCTTCTCAACATCTCCTACATATTCTTCGCAATTCTATCATGTTAGTTAGACCAATCTTTCTACAAAATCTACATTTATATGCTTATCAATTGTTAATTTTTTAAAAGATTTCTAACTCTTTGATCTTTTTCTTAAACCCATAATTAGATTAGAACTTTCTAACAAAAAGAAGTAATGGTATCTTGAATAACAACTCGATGTAATTTATATGATAGTAAACACCAGACCCTATTTTATTTTCCATTAGTCATTAGTTATAACATCTTTGATTTTAAAAATCAAATTATTTGATAAACCTAATTATTGATCTGATTCTTCTTCATCCTCTAAAACTTCAATATCTTCTAAGTATATCGTATTTAATTATTAAATTAAATAATCTGATTCAATTTGGGTACTAGTGCAATATTTAAATTCAACCTATTTGACACAAGCCACAATTTAATTAAGAAAATCAGAGATCTTTATTTAAGCTTAATAAATCACATTAACATTTCCTCTTCTAAAAAACTGGGTTTCTATTCTTTCCAAGTACTATTGAAAATTTTCATCCTCCTTTTAGTTAACATTATCATTTATCAATTGAGATTCTTCAAACCTCTAAATGCATTCTTTAGTACAATCTTAAAATCTAAAATACAATTTATTTTAATATTCTTCTTCATACCTTAGAATTTTATCAAGTTTTCTTGAGAAACTATCAAATTTTTCAAGTAATTTGTTTAAAAACTCCAACTCCTCTAGTAGTTATAATTTTTTTAACTTAACTATTTTAATCATAAATTATAAATATGTTCTATAGCTCTGGTCATCTCTAATTTCCTCTCTCTCTAGGATTATTTGGTTTTGTGATATTGGTATTAATTCTTATTCCTCTTTAAATACTTTATATATATTCTCTTTTAGCATAATCAGATCTTCATGTATTAACATTTTATCGATTTCCTTGTCTGTTTATCCAAAGGTTTCTATTGCTTCAATCACAGTTTCTGTTTGTATGATTAATGAGTTCCAATTATTAATTTATTAACATTTCCTTAAATTTTCAATTTATTTTAATTAATACAAAAATTTTTTATATTTTTCTTTTTCTGGTAAATTAAATGTATCAACTCTCAATTATTCATCAACATTTAGACCTTCAAAAATGGTTTAAAATTTGTCTACAAATAGAAAAGAAGGTTCTTTGATGAATAGTTCTCCTAACTCTTTTTCAATCAACTCTAAATCTTTTCTTTAAGAGTCAATCTTTTTTTCATTTATCTTTTGTCGAATTATAAGGTAAGTTATTGCTCCTTTTTACTTCGGTAACTTCTATTTAAAGTCTTCATATGAGATCTACAAATTTTGTAATTCAGTGTGAAGTGGTAGGTCAAAGTTAGTGTTTTCTCTCATTAGTCTTTTTGGAACATTAGTAATTACATTTAGTAGAAATTCTTCAAATTTAAGAACATCCAAGAACATTCTTTATTCTTCTCGAGAGACTTTTTATAAAATCATTTAAAAAGACTTCTTTGTAGTAACTAATTTTAATTGTAATGTCAAATTTTTTTACCTTAAGATTTCAAAATATTTAAGGAAATTCCTATCGAAAAATGCTAACTTAATTTTGTTTAGATCCTCAATTGAAGTAATAGTCTCTAGTTAAAACTTGATGAGAATGATTTCTTTTAAGGGTAAATCATTAAAATGTTGTTAAAGCTCATCATTCTTATTTACGTAATATGAATAAAGCTAGTTTACTTAATTCTAAAAATAAGACAGTAACTTATGCCCATGTCCAATCCTATCTATTTCTATATTGTAAATTTTATTAAGTTTTTCTGCTTCTTAATACATTTTTGTTTTACA